AATGTTAGTCTGCACAGCAGGGCTTCGGAAGGAAGTTTCAGCTGGTATGGTCTGGGAGCAAAGGTGGAATGGGGAGAGGGTCCTGGAAGCTGCTGGAACCTTTCATTGGAAATGTTCAGTACCTTGTTAAAAGTTACTAGTATCCCCGGAAGGTGTACAAAAACTAGGGATGAAACGACAAAAAACCACTCTGTGACAAGGTATTTCCTGGGAAAGTGAACTATTTCTAGAGGTGAAAGGGGTGATCCGGGCACCCGTCTGTTTAGCTGCTGATCCGTTAGCAAACGAGTAGTTACCTGCTAGTCGTGACGCTATAAGAAGCTGGCTTGGACAGTCATACAGTTTGATGTAGGGTTTGAATGTGTTGCTGGTGGTTCAATCCTGCTGCATATGACAATTCTGACATTTATGGAGGAGCAGAACATAATTCAAGTTCTGAAAACAACTGCATGCACTGCGGACAGCTTTGACTGTTTTGCATGTGGCGCAGTAAGTGTGCGCATGCTGCGCTTGTCCCAATGTAGTGTACTTGCTGTGAATTGCATGACTTTGCATGCACGAAATGTGGAAGGCTATTGTATAGTATCTGTTACTATTGGCTGCTAAAGGATACCTAATAACCCGCCCGTTAAGCCACGTTCCCGTTTGTAACCTTTTAAAAAGGGTAACCGTTTCACTCCTAATTATTTCAGTCTCATTGTATGAAGTAAGTAAGGGTGGCGAGGCTTCCTGCAGCATAAGGGCGAACATGGTCGGAGCTGGGAAAGAGAGCAGGTCTGCTGGGGCCATTTTGCCTCACTGTATAAACACCAGAAAATTTAGTTGCCAAAGTAATTGTGTACCGTATGGCAAGTGAAAACTATTGTCATGGATACAGTAGCGCCGAGTTCACTGCACGGCCCAGTGTTAGCAGTGCTTGGGCTGTGCAGCCCCAGAGTTGTGATAGGGCTTGAAAGTGCTACGTCAAAGCCATGACAACGCTGACTTTTGGATCAATTTGGATCCAGTTTTTGTATGGATCCATACACATTTTGGTGGTATTCCTTCACATCATAGTGACACGTCCACCGGTAGTGACTGGACTGGCCCCTATCGGTCAGGGATCCACTCCTCATGCAGAAAAAATCACACCCGCCACACCATACTTTGCCATGGGTAGAATGGATCTGAAAGTCAGTATTTGTCGTTAGATTTTGACTTCTGACGTCGCTTTCAAGCCCTACAATAGGCTATAACATACAATGACGTCAAACATCAAGGCCTCCATGTTTTCTAGCGGTAGCACTTACAATCAGGACAAGGGGGTGAGGGTTGAGAACGCATTGGTATTTGGGAGAAACGACAAGGGACAGAGAGATGAAGGACTACATGATTGTCGCTGAGTGAAGGTGGAAGAAAACTAATCTGAGCATGAAACCATTGGATGGAAAAAAGCTAGGTTGCCGTGACAATCTCAGAGACCTAACGCGCTGTGGTCAATGGCTTCTCTTGCCAAACTGCTGCTCAACTTGGCTGCTGAAAGAGACTATTAACGTCGAGAGCTTCATCCCCTGTTCAACGGATGCTACCAATAGAAGGAGTAGTAACCTTCATAGTTCTGGCGGTCGTACGCAAAACACCATGGCAACATTGACTTGGCAGGGAGACAGGCAGGCAGGGAGCATGGGTGACTTCTTGTTGCTGTCCTGCAGCAACCTACCAGCAGCAACCATGTTGGCTGCCTCATCATGAGTCACAGGCACAGCATTGTCAGGATTGGCCTTTCGGCACACCTCCTCACTGGAATCTGCTAGTTTGCTAGCAGTGTGGCTGCCGGGAAATCCACTGGTTTCCAGGATGCCACTCACCACTTCCAACTGACGATTTATGAAGTGGACGGTGTGAGTCACAAACGATGATGAGTCGCTGTTGATGACCATCCATCAGTGGTCAGGGCTACACCAGCGTCTTCTTCATTCGCTAGCAAGGACTTCATCTCATCCCTGCATGTTTGGTGGCGCTTCAGGATGAGACTGCCGAGGTGAGTTCGTGAAGGCACCTTGACCGCTTGATTTGCAAGATGCTAGCAAGGCCCAGCTTTTCCTCACGAACACAGTCCACTAGTCGTAGCCCTGACTTGCAAGAGCTACAACCTTTCTGGAGAAGCTCTGCAAGCAAACGTAACTCAACGATTCTCCGTCCACTCAGGACGTCTCTCTTTTCGCATTCAAATTCCACTCGAGAATCAGAAGTGGATCCACTTGCTTTCTGTGCACCCACTTCGGGCTCTCTCTCGGCATAGTGCTGGCACTGGCACTGGTGGCAGCACTGGAAGCTACAATGGCACTGGCACTGACTGCAGCATGGGTTGTGCAATGAGTCGCTTGCCTCTGTTCTTCCTGGCCACAGGATTGCCTCAAGCGAAATTCGCCGAAGAGAAATACAGCCGCAAAGTGGCTTTTTTCTTAACGAACTTACCACGATACTTCTCCATCACTCCTTCGCCCACTACTGGCCAAATGGCCAAGAAAAGAATAGACGCTAACCTCAGAAGGGAAGACAAAAGGCGAACTTGAAGTGGTCAAACCAAAAGTAAGCTTCGGACGACAGCACTTCAAATATTTGTTCGAGTTGGGAATTTCCCCGCATTTCGCGCTTGTTACCCCCAAAAGACTTCCGGCCGCGAAAAATTGAGCTCTAGTTTGGCTGCACAGCACATAAGGTTGGAGCCTCCTTTTAAAGTGTCATCTATCGGGGGTAGGGGTTAGCAATCTTTTTTGAGTTAAAATTGTGCTGGTCCTTGTCAAGGACAGGACTCTGATAAAGGAATATTTCAGTTTCCATGCTCTCACTATATCTCATAATTCGACTCTCTGTGAAACTACAGCTATACTGTGGAAACTGCCATGCTGTTTGTTTTGTCTTCCCAGGCACGGACCCCTCTCCATTGCTGCTGCATCCAGAGCCGGTACGTTGTTTTGACTCCTTTAGATGGCACACACACACACACACACACACGCACGCACGCACGCACACACACACACACACACACACACTGAGAGTTTCACCGGAGAGAATGTTTTTACGCCATAATGATTGCTCTTACTTGTACTTGAGCATGTTTGGGCCATGGTGTCATCACCACTGCTACCCTTGCTGCTGCTGCTGCTGACGTCTCTGCCACAGCCGCCGCCGTTGCTGCTGCTGCTGCTGCTGCTGCTACCATCACTGCCACGGCCGCCTTTGCTGCTGCTGCAGTAGCTGTAGTGAGGTTTTACATTGTGTTTTTGTACTGTCGATGTTCAGTTGAAAGGCAATGCAATCGTGGACACTCCCGTGGCAGTCATTGCTGGCAACCGGCCCAAGTATTTATTCAGGTAACATGCGTGTAGTACTGTAGTGGCCTAGCGACATGGTGTTGGTCAGCATGTGTGTGTGTGTGTGTGTGCGTGCGTGCGTGCGTGCGTGAGTGCGTGTGTGTGCTGTGTGTGTGTGCTGTGTGTGTGTGTGTGTGTGTGTGTGTGTACTGTGTATTTACTTGCTAGGTACATGTCTTTTGAAAATGCTGCAGGATACTACCAGTCCACAACTGTCACTGTGCAGTACATGTACTATATGTACCTCTTAGTCTTAACTACATGTATGCCGTTGTGCCCAATAGAGAACCGAGCTTTGCAACGATGCGCATGTGATAATAGTCCCTACTTCCTGTATGTTATGCTGGCTGCGGTTGTCCCAACCTTTTCTGGAAGTCTGCGTGGTGTGCTCCTTGTTGTCCGTGTTCTCCATAGAATGCTTCGCACGCTGCTGTCCACGTCTGGCTGTAAGTCACCCCAGTATGCAGTGTGCAACCTTCGCGACTTTGCGTCTTCTCTGCTTGATCACGCAAATAATTATTATGTCAAATTTTATGCAATGCATGGAATGAACGTATGTATGTATGTATTATTATTATTATACGCACGTCCGCGTTTACGTCAACAGTAAGTCCACGTATTCGCATGTGCCAGAAGACAGGCAGAGTGGGCAGGGAGGAAAACAAAAATAAATAAAAGTAAAAAATAAATGTAAGACAGCAGGCGATAGGCACATAACTCATGTTCGATGATAGGTGCTCAATGCACGGGATCTATTCGAAAGATCAAAAAATAAAACAAGAATAACAGACAACGACGATAGGTTTGTAACTCATGGTCGATGGTAAGTGCTAAATGAGCGGGATCTGTACAATGCCTCTGTCCCATCCGTTAGTTACTGCGTATGAACGTATGTATGTGCACAAATAACCCATGTGTTATGATGGTTTTTCTAGTCTTTGATTGTCATTACATTTATATGTATCTCTGCATTCTCTGGGATTCTCTGCTTGTTGATTGTTTTGTCGCTGCAGCCGACCCCACAATGACAACCGTGTTTATAGACGGAGAGTACGAGGTAAGCGACCGTGACAGGAATTCAGCAACATCAACCATCAACATGCGTGTATGGTAGCATTCCATAGTGGCAGCAGCAATGCTTGCAACGTGTGTATGACAGCCATCAAAATGGGTGAAGTGACTTGTAAACCTCTACCTGTTGCCGAAAGTAGACAGTCACAGTAGGCACCTCAATTGCAGCAAAAGTGCTATCATGGTCAAGCATGTGCTGCAGGCAGGTGAGGGTGTGTGGTATCTTTACTGTACAGTGGCTTCCTTTTTTTCTTCTCTTTTAGGAGCCTGCTGATGTTGCTCGACTACTTGGTGTGAGAGCTGTGATGGTAAGCTGAAAGCACAGTGGTGGTGCCGAGTTTGTCGTATGGCCATTGAATTGCTTTTGTTGACATGCATCCCTTTACAGGGCAGAACTGTGAGATAACAATGCAGGGGCGTCGGACACGGTACGGTCACTACGGTATTGACCGTACCACTTCTTGCCCCCGGGTACCCTGTGAATCGATAAAATACACTGATCTGGGCTCTAAATTTCCAAAATTTTCGGCTCAGCCACCTCTCCCACATGAGTAAACTGTACTTCAGATGGCT